GTGTGTGTGTGTGTGTGTGTGTGTGTGTGTGTGTGTGTGTGTGTCACTGTTATCAGCTGGAGAGGCACAAGCCTTTCCCATTTAACTCTCCATCTGTCTAAGTAGGTGCTTTGTGATTTAGCATGCATAAGGTATAATTTAATTCAATTAAAGCAGACCGCTTCCTTCTAGAGATGTGGCTAATGTGAGGTAGAGGAGGGACTAACATTGGGTATTTCAGATATGTCACTTTCATTGTAAAAAAAATAAAGTTTACATTTATTTTATTCAAAAGTGTAGTACTCAGGAGTGGTAAGGATTTCTTACAAAAAGACATTTCTTTTAGGTGCTTCCTGTGTGCGTTTAACTTTGATATAAACCCTATGAGACATCAATGGCTTGATTGTTCTGATCTCAAAGCTTCTTTAAATGTTTTAGTTTAGCTTAAACCTCCATAYATAAAGAGCCTCTGTGAAATAAAATATTTTTTTATCAATTTGTCAACCGTACAGTGAAAATTTAATGTTTTTTTTAAGGATTAATATTCTTTAGCTTATAAACATTCACAGCTATTGTGACTGCATGTTTTGTGTGTGTGTGTGTGTGTGTGTGTGTGTGTGTGTGTGTGTGTGTGTGTGTGTGTGTGTAGCCCTGTTCTTTTGACCTATGCTCTCCCTCCTACCATCCCTAATTGTAGCCCACAGTGACTGGTTCTTTCATCTAAGGTCACAGGTTCAGTTTTCTCTTTCTTCCTGTCTACTCAGTCACTTTCTCTCATTCTCTCTCTCTCTTTCAAGTCATTTTTTTTAATTTCACACTCAGTTTATTTCTCGTAGTCCTAATTTTGCTAATCGTATCTTCGCCAGCTCTCACTTTTATGTTGTCTGGCCCTTTCACGTCTTTTTGTTTCTTCTCACTTTGTGGTCTTAAATGGACAAKGAGTTTCTGCTAATTGTTTTGTGTCCATCACCACCCTCGCCTGTTCCTTTTCCCCATAGGTGGCCATCACAACACATCAGCGGTCCACTGTGCAGATGTCTTGTAATGCTGTAATGTCACCAACCCTCATTTTTAGAGCAGAGKCTTTGTTATCTTTGTTGTTTATTGTGCAGCCATTTCATTTTTGGTCGCAGTCTTTTATTTTGCTCTTTAGTCTTTTCCACCATTAATATTTTAATAGAGAAGTTGGTGTATGTCTGTGTCTTTTCGCTTCAAGTCTTCTCATCCATTAGCAGATGAGAACAGTAATTTCACAGCGGCCTGGCCAGGCTAATTATCAGGATCCACACTTGGGTTGGGATGAGTGTGTGCATGTAAGTGCACGAGCAAAAACAGTAAAGTAAAACGATGTCAGTACTTTTTTTGTGCAAATATGTAGCACCTGTGGCCTTTTTTTTCCAGTGTGAATGTGTGTGTGCTCGTGTGATTCAAGAGTGCACGCCAAGTGCCTTGGTGTTTTCCAGGTAAGAGAGTTTCCCTGCTCACTGACTCGTTGTGATTCCTATAATTGGGTCTCGTTTGATTTTTGCCGACCAGCGCCCCAGCCGCCACTTCCTCCCCCTTCTCCTCTGTTGCTCCCTCTCCTCCTCCTGCACAGTGAAGAGGACTCCTGGGTCTCTGCTGTTGTGACCCGGAGGTGTTGTCATCTGCTGCATGTTTCTTCTTACCTCTTTTCTTTCTTAACTTTCTAAGCTTTCATTCTCCTTTTCTTTCCTGTCACTGTTAACAAAAGCAAAGCCTTCTGGCTGATTTTTGGCATTCCAAATAGCTCTGAAGTAAAAGTAACTCTTTGTGCATGAATTACTTTTAACCGTACTTCAGTGCAAGCAGCTATTGAAGAGAGATGTCTTTGCTTGTCAGACACATTCAGGCTGTAAGTTATCCAGTTGTTTGCTCTTTATTCAGACATTAAAAAAGCTGAATTTGAAGACAAACACATAAATTAGTTGATACCCTTACAGCTCATTGTARCAATGCTTCATTTGTAAAGTGATTCAGTTAAAAGCAGTTGTCTAATGTATCTGTGCATACCTTTTG